GAGCTACGCTGCTTTCAGACAGTCACATGTTTCCAGGTGAGTAGTGATTATTACTGTTACTATCATGTTCAGTTTATTTGTTCTGACTTTAAAGCTCTGATCTCTAATTGATGAATGATTTATCAGGCGGTGGTAAATAACTTGGATGATGCACATGAGCTCATTGATACAGCAATGTCAACTGCTTTGAAGGAAAGCAAGCCGGTTTATATCAGCATAAGTTGTAATTTATCTGGAATTCCTCATCCTACTTTTGCCCGAGACCCAGTTCCATTTTATCTTGCACCAACGTATGACTTCCTCTTTTTGTTACTTACTCACATTGTTTTAATTCAATATAATTTTCTTTTATTTCTTTTAATATTTCGGCATTGCTTATTCTGAGTTTGTAAAAGACAGTTTATATTCATGCCTCTGGAATATGAAAGGTCATTGATCAGGGAGGAAGCATTGTGCGTATGATCCTGTCAACTCAAAATTTGACTCGTGGGAGCGAAAGACCGAAATACTAATGAAGCTCTAGAAACCTTTGGTTATAATGAGTAGTTTGCCTGCGTTGCATCTTGACATGAACTCTATGGACTTATGAAGCATTCTACATCCCCTTTTCTTAGACGTCTTACCACTTGCATCTACTCATGTATGTGCAATTTACTGCACTTGTTTTGAGAATTTGACTGACCTTTTATTCTCTGCTTCAGTGATAGGGTATGGGTCTGACCACAGCTTTTATAGTTTCATTTCTTTTTTGTTCGATCATATTCTATTTGTTCTTATAGCCCCTCATGGCATTACTGTAGAATACTTTGTTCTATGCAGCGTGAGCAACCGGTTAGGACTAGAAGCTGCGGTGGAAGCAACAGCTGCTTTCCTAAACAAAGCTGTGAAGCCAGTCATAGTGAGTGGGCCAAAACTAAGGGTGGCAAGGGCACGAAAGGCCCTTTTGGAGTTAATTGAAGCCAGTGGATATCCAATAGCTGTTATGCCCTCAGGGAAAGGGCTTGTACCTGAGCATCATCCACATTTCATTGGGACCTATTGGGGTGCTGTTAGTACATCCTTTTGTGGTGAGATAGTGGAGTCCGCTGATGCCTATATTTTTGTTGGCCCTATCTTCAATGACTACAGCTCTGTTGGATACTCATTGTTGGTAAAGAAGGAGAAAGCGATAATAGTACAGCCTAATCGGTGGGACCATTGGCAATGGTCCCTCCTTGGGATGGGTTTTCATGGCTGATTTCTTAACTGCTTTGTCCAAGAGGTTGAAGAAAAACAGCACAGCTGTGGAGAATTACCGACGCATCTTTGTTCCCCCTGGCATTCCTTTGAAGCTGGAGAACAATGAACCTTTAAGAGTTAATATTCTATTTAAGCACATTCAGGTAAGTTGCTCAAGATTCAAACCATATGTGGGGGCTTCTTAAATTTATGAAAACCACTATTAGCTTGTACTTAAAAAGTGAAGTTTATATGTCAAATGGCTCTTTGATAGATCATACAGGCAACCTTATGGTTCCTTAAAAAGATCCATTTCTTTAAACCATTTCTATGATTTGCATTGGTTGTGTGAATGTAATTTGAACGTTTCTCATAGACCGGGAGCACTAATACATAATATATCATGTATAGCAAATTCAGAATCTGTTTTTATTTGCTTGAGCAAATTCCTCATTAGCTCTCAAATAAGTTCTCCTTTTGTTTCATTAATTAAATCTGTTGAACAGACCTGCTGAGTGGAGATACTGCCATCATAGCTGAAACCGGAGATTCTTGGTTCAACTGTCAGAAGCTTCGTCTCCCTGAGAACTGTGGGTAAGATTTATAAAATCCCTGCAATTAACAATACACTGATTACGGCTAACATAAATTAACAATACCAAACTTTCAGTTTTGAATTCCAGATGCAATATGGATCTATCGGTTGGTCAGTAGGTGCTACTCTTGGATATGCACAAGCTGCAAAAGATAAGCGTGTAATTGCTTGCATTGGTGATGGGAGTTTTCAGGTTAGTAAGATTATGAGAATAGAAACAGTCTACTAGATATCCTGATAATGATTTTTGTCTCAATCATTAATACGTGAAAAGCTCAGATAATACAGCATTCTCACAAAATAGAAAGTATTGCTATAGTTAATAACGGTCATAAATATGAACAATTTGGTGGGATGTCTCTATAGGTGACAGCGCAGGATATTTCAACAATGATACGCTGTGGACAAAGGAACATCATATTCCTCATCAACAATGGAGGTTATACTATTGAAGTTGAGATTCATGATGGCCCATACAATGTGATTAAGAATTGGGACTACACCGGCCTTGTTGATGCTATCCATAATGGAGAAGGCAAATGCTGGACTGCAAAGGTTAGTATGAATGGAACTGTTAATCTTTATTTTCTGCCTTCTGATTTTTTCACTCTATATGCCACTAGGTGCGTTGGATATTATGAAACTGTTCACGGGCCTTAAATATTTTGAATAAACTTTGCACTTTAAAAACGCTTACACAAAGCATGTTCACCAAAATAAAATGAAGCAAAATGGGATGAAAAGCAATACCTGCTTCATTTAGCCTATGATGTTGTTACTGATGCCTCATAGCGTCTTTGAATGCCTCAGAATGCCCTTCTATTCTATAAAGTTGTTTGGTGGTCGTGTCACTGATGGACGGTGTTGCTGTATTGTAGGTACGTACAGAGGATGATCTGACAGAAGCAATTGCGGCAGCTATGGGACCAAAGAAAGATTCTCTCTGTTTTATAGAAGTTTTTTTTCACAAGGATGACACCAGCAAAGAGTTGCTGGAATGGGGATCACACGTTGCTGCTGCTAACAGCCGTCCTCCAAATCCCCAATAGAATTTCTGTGTACATTAACCTGCATTGTGCTTCAGTGATTCCCCGCTGGGGAACTTTTACAGAAGAAATATACCAGATTTGAGAAATAAGACAACAAAGATTGCTTGTTATTTCTGAGGCCTCCGACTTGTCCCTTAGGTACCTTCTTGATTGTAAGAATAATATTTGATACATGTTAAGGGAGTTTGGCTTAGTAAAGAGAAATTTTATGTGGAAATTTTATCCGATAAATTATTTCTGAAGGATGTCTAGTTGAAAGCAGGATCAAATGTGAAACTCGTCTGTTGCGAGGGGAATTAGAACAATGAACAGTTGATCTTCTTAGGTCACATCATAGCAAATTCCACGAATACCACGAGTTGGTTGGCTTGGAGTGGAGATTGGAGGACGTTTTAAAAAAGAACGAAACACACTATCGAGATAATGAGATAAACGTATTAACAATGATCGGTGCCCCGTCTTCTCAAGTTTGGTCGCTGCAAGCACAGTGGCTATCCCTACTTGTGGCTGTATCATTTACCATCCCCCCCGCTGTATTCGGATGCTACACGTCAATCTTCAGCTTCGGCGATTCCCTCACTGATACTGGAAACTTGCAATTCACTTCCTCGTCACAGCGTCCTGATTGCTTGCGTCCTCCCTACGGATCAACCTATTTTCATCGCCCCAACGGACGATGCTCGGATGGCCGCCTAATCCTCGATTTCATTGGTACCAAACGATTAATTCAACGTAAAATCATGTGTTTTCCTGTCATTTATTTTTCTACTCTAACTAATTAATATCACTGCTCTTGATTTTGGGTTTGGGCAGCCGAATCTCTGCATCTTCCACTGGTTAAACCGTATCTAGGTATAAAAAACGGGGATGTGAAGGATTGGAATACACAGCATGGGGTTAATTTTGCGGTTGCGGGAGCCACTGCGTTGGACGGCTTGTTCTTTGAAGAGAAGGGTTTTGATGTCGAAGGAGCTGCCTACTATTCTCTGAGGGTTCAGTTAGATTGGTTCAAGGAATTTCTGCCTTCTCTCTGCAATTCCCCTTCAAGTAATTCGTTTTTACTGTTAATTAATTACTTGTCTTAAGTTTTGAATCTTATGCCCAACCCAATTAACCAACCAAAACCAAATAAGTTGATCTGTTCACCAGATTATCTTCACCTCGCTGACTAAATTGTTTCAGTTCATGGTTTACCCGATAGTATTGGGATTAGTGATTCGATTAGAGAGCACAGACCCATGGCTGTAGTTGAATGTTCAACGAGGCCAGAAGAACATGAAGGGATTTTCATAGGGGTTTATCTGGGACTTGTGTCTGGGGCCCGAATGCTATTTCAACCAAATCAGATAAAAATTTAGGTAGCTAATTAAACTGCAAAAATCAAAAAGACTGACGCAATAAATATATTATAGTCTATTTCAAGAACATGGTTTTCACATGATGGGCTGCCGCCACAAGGATATGGACTGGTTAATATATGGTGACACTATTGGAGCTACGTCTCTGAAAATGGTGTCTTGCTGGTAGCTGTTTTTAGTTTTTTGGGGTTTTGGCCATCCTGTTCTACCAAAAAAAAAAGAGGAGATTTATGTAGTCTTAATTGTCAGCTTTTTTTTTTTTTTTTTTTTGGGAGGGGAAAAAGAAGGTTCACAGGGAACAGAGGGAGTAGGTACATTTTCTGCATGTTAGGAGGTCTTTCTTTCTCATGTAATTTGATTCTTATTTCTATTTCAAGCAGTGTATGAGATTTTAGTTTTGCAGGCTGCAAAGAGGTTCTTGGCAACGCCTTATTTATTGTGGGAGAGATTGGAGGCAATGATTATGGTTATCCCTTATCTCAACCAGGGAGCTTGGAGGAGCTTAAAACTTACGTACCACAAGTAGTCTCTGCAATCACTTCAGCAACCAGGGTAAGGATTCTTACTTTCGTATTGCCTATTCCAGTGCAGTCTCAAGTTTGATGTCGATTCTGATGATAGAATGGAAGTTGCCAAATGCCAACGGACAGCGTGTTTTTTCACTACTTGGAGGAACAGTGGGGGAAAATCTTAAATGAAAAATGATCTCCCTGTCATCACTCGCTAACCTGATTTTGCTTTCTTAGATAGGAGGTTTGCATCACAGAAAGCTCTTAATATAATCCTAGGCAAAGTGTTATGTTACTCTTATTCTGAATGAGACTACTTCACAGTCTCTGGAGAATCCGACACATTTCCTTTCTCTTCTTTATGCTGATTCAAGTCATATACTTACAATTGGCTGTTTGGTTTATCATCGCAGGAGTTGATTAACGCAGGGGCTGTTACACTAATGATTCCTGGAAATCTACCACTGGGATGCAATCCAGCCTATTTAACTAGGTTTGCAGTTAAAGACGAGGACGAGTATGACAAAGCCGGCTGCTTAAAATGGCTAAACGCGTTTTTTGAATACCACAATAAGATGCTTAAAACTGAGCTCAATGATCTTCAAGTGTTGTATCCTCACACGAAAATCATCTATGCCGATTATTTCAACGCTGCGCTTCAGTTTTACCGTTCTCCAGAACAATTTGGTACTCCTTTACTCTCAACTTCTCATAGGCATCTCAACATTGGTTTCTGGGTTTAGTGTGGGAAGATTGATACAGATTTGCTTCCTGCTATTTCAGGATTTGGCAAAAACAATGTTCTGAAAGTTTGCTGTGGAGGTGGAGGTCCCTACAATTACAATGAATCAGCACTGTGCAGCTACTCAGGAGTGGTATCTAGTGATGATCCTTCAAAATATGTGAGCTGGGATGGCTTGCATTTGACTGAGGCTGCTTATAGATGGATCACCAAGGGTTTATTGGATGGAACATACACTATTCCCGGGCTTAGTACTTCTTGTACTTCACAATATGTGACCTCCGGAGAATTTAGAAACCACGCTGCGAAATGAAGATGGTGGGGTGCTAAAATGATGTATTTTCAATGTCAACCTATTGGATGCTGATTCACATGATTGTTGCAGTTTGTCACCTAAAAAACATTTTTAAGAAGTGTTTTTATATATATTGAGATAAATTCCTTTTACATACTTATAAAAGTACTTTTAAAATTATAGTTTAGTTTTCATCTAAACACCTTTTAAGTTAATCACGTTATGCTACATACACATGATCATTGAAGCAGGTTTTTTAATTTATACTTTTAAAATCATTGTTTGTCATTAAATTAAAGACAAACTACTGCAATATTTGCAAATTGCAGAGACTTTCACTTTTGCTAAGCGGAAATAAAGAGATGACATTAAATATTTCTTTTAACAAACAGTTATAAGAACAACTTATGATTGATTTTTTCATATTTAATTATTAGAATAAACTGATCAAACATAATTGAAGTTTTTTATTTGGATATGATTCATCTCTAATGTTTTTGTGTGCTCTGTGTTACTATATACTTTATTTATTTAATTTTCTATGCACCGACTTTATTTAAAAGAGGTAAATTTATTTGAAGTCTAAGAGAAAATGTTATGTTAACATCCCTGTCATGAGCCTGAAATAGATTTGGTGCACTTCTCGTGTATTTTTCTTAGTATCGAAAAACAGTGGTATAAGGTGAGAAAGAACGCAGAGATGGGAACGTAATTATGAGAGTAAATTTGATAATGTATATAAAGAGATGGTTCAGTTTGATTTCGTAAGAAGTCAGGGATCTTTCCTTTCTTGATTGTTGCTTTGGACAATTACTTGCACCTTTCACCTAGAATCTTGCACTATATGGGATGAATTAACGAAGAGTGTTAGTACTATCCCACAATTTCTTCTTCTTGTCTTGGTAAGAACGAATAATTTCTAAAAATATCCAAAGGAACCACTTTTTCTGCATACACACGTGACCCCCACTTATAAATAGATTAGGAAACCAACGAGACAAGTAATCGATATCTTTCAAGATCATTTCTTACACTGATATGGTGTAGCTGAAGCTTATGCAGAAACATATGGGTGAAATTATTTTAGCCGCGAAGGGTAAAACAGAATAATGGAAGGCTTAGAAAAGAAAGAAAGAATCTGATCCATAGTGTGCTGAGTTTTTTATTTTTCCAGCTTTGTGATGATGATCCATCTCAGATATTCATCAAAAGTCATCCTCCTCATGATCCATCAACTTCCAAGATCCATCAAGCTGTTGTACCATACCCTTGTTCTTCTCAATTCTCCAGGCCGCAGGAACAAGAAACTCATCTTTCAAAGCATCCGAAGATTTGTTCACGAGCGCAATATCACGATTCACCTCCAACCTGAACCCTCCCTGGCTTCCTTGCGTTCCCGCCACCCCATGCAAATAAGCTTCCAAGTTATGCCAGCTCGATGCATTCCCAGGGGTCTTCAAGTACTTTGATTTTCTCGTATCGATCTTCAGTTCTTCCCCAACGTCAAAATAGCCTATCAGAGGGTAGTTTGGAACGATGTCTAGTTCATTTCGAATGCGTAGGACTCGAAGATCCTTGTACTTTGAGAAAAGCTTCTGGAAGTTTAGGTCTCCCACACGAGGACTAGCAAATGCGAAGACAGTGACTAGACATGAATTTGAAGGTTGATCTCTGGGTGCGTTAAAGCCATTTGCAACTATATCCGCTGCGCTCAGTGTCGCCAGTGCTGCTCCTAAGCTGTGCCCTGTTATAGTTATACTTATTTCTTCGTACTTGTATAACTCCACCAATCTTCTGATCTCGCTCAGAACCTGATGAACGTACGTAACGTGTATTTATATAAAGATGCCGGTTAAAGGGTAGAAAAGGATGGGAGATATAACAATTCATAAACCTAAGACATTAGATCTGAGATGATTTTAAATATTGAGAAATATACTGTAACAGATTAATTCATACTGGTGCATTGAATATTTATTGATTCAGGATGAGTTAACCCCACACAATTACAAACCCACAAACACCCACGAAAACAGATTTCTTTTCTGAATTGAGAAAAGCAGTGTATACTGCTGGCTGCCGTATGGTTAAAAGAGAGAGAATTCAATAGAATTAACAAGGCAAAAACAAAAAGGTTTAGTCATGATTATATTGTCACATAAGTGCCCCAGAATTAAGGAAACATATATCTGTGTATATATGTATACATACCTGGTTTCTGGCACTGGTCTTATTGAAGGGAGAACGAGGGTCTTCGGATGTGTAAATAGAGTACCAACCTTGGTGTAACAAGGGATCAGTGTCCCTTTGAAACACTTTTGAAGCAGACACCAAAATGAACTCAAAATCATTAACCCACTCCAACGTCTGCACCGTCCCTCTCCAAGCCACCACTATGTCCCTCCGTCCCATCGCCGCCTTCCCCTCGTCCGTCGCCACCGCCACAAACCCTATCCAGTTCGACTCCTTGCTCCACGCCTCCCTCGACCACGACTTCACTATGAACGCCTCCGGCACGTCGATCTCCGACGTCGCGTACAGATACTTGGTGATGCAATACTTGACGGGATGGCCATCCCCCTTCTCCAAACCCACCCTTGCGAACAAGTCGCTTTTGGCGTACCGGCTGCTTCCGGCGAACTTCGATTTCTTCTCCGTGTTGAAAGTGTCGTATGCGGCTTGTGCCATTTCGCCGTAGTGGATAATGCATCTGCGCAGGTCTAGGTCGAGAGGGTCGAGGATGCCTTTCCAGTGAGTTTCACCGCTGAGCTGTCTCCATCTTTTCGCCGTCTTATTATTATAGTCCATCTTCTCTTCCTTCTTGTTGTTCATCCCCATACAGCCCAGGAACCAGGACGCTATCCCACGCTTTATATATCCCCCCAGAGAACCAGAGGTCTCTTTCTTCATGATTATCTATGATGGTGATCTTTGCCTTATCCCTTGATCTCTCTTCAACTTCTTTGGATTTGACTGCAACCCCATGATTATGCTCTCGTGTATACTTATATATACACGCAGTTGAAGGAAGAATGTTATGTTTTCCGATTCTACGGAGTTAAATTTAGTCACAAGTAATATCGTTAAGCCTTGCCGCCTGACCAGAATATATTGAAAAAGGAAGAGAGAGCTCACATATTTTCTGTTTGAGTTCTTCCACCTAGAACCAACTGTATCATCCTAAACTGCGGACCCAACGGGTTAACTAATATCAAGCCAACAAGCACTGGATCCTTTTTTTTTTTTTTTTTTGAAAGATATTTTGACGACTTCATCTCGAATACATATCATGACTTATCAATCGATAGGTAACTGAACTTCATCATTAAAAGAGGAACCCAAAAAGGGGGGGGGGGGAGTAGTGACTTGTGAGGAGTATGAACGTTAAGGATTAATTTTTCAATATTGAAAGTTTAAATTAAAGTTATACCTATAGTGTCTTTAAATCTTAAAAACAATAATGTGCTTTTGTTTTTTAGTGTATATGCAGTGGAAAAACGTTGGTGTGAGATTGTGATCACATCAATTATTTTATGTTGCTGATCGTTTGTAAAGAATAACGCTAGCGCAAATTACGTCGACGGCGAGTAAAGAAAAGACGTGTACGTTTCAAAATAGGAGTGGATGAAGCATGTATATTTATCTGGGCATATATATACATATAATATATATATATAGAGTATATAATATTCTGATTGCATATATGGGCAAATATATAATTAAATTTCAAATAAGTTAGGCAATGAATGGTTCCAATATCGTTTTCAGAGGGGGAAGAGATGGCCGTGAAGTGAGGTAATATGAGTTTGTGTTTGTGGCACATATTCTTTGGGTGATATAAGTAAATCCTTCTACGAATGGCAAAAGGCTTGTCCCAATTGAAAAAGTCACAGCCTTAGCCTTCAAGTCACAACCAAACATGATGCCATATGAGAATATATATATATATATATATATATATTTATATGAGATTATTGTATGCTTGTAAGTTGGGGAAACCAACAGTTATTTGCACCTTGTTTTGTTTGGCTCAATCTGTTTCCCACACAATGCCAGTTAAAACTAAGGGAATAATATATAAAGACAAAAAGTTGTGAGTTAGACAAGGAGAGAATGAAGAAAAAGGAAGAACTTTGATGGCACAAATTTTAATTTAAGCATATATTCTTAATTAGCAGGTCCCATCTCAAGTACTTTAAGAATTTTACCCATGTCTTATGTCATAAAAATGTATTTATGAACAAAAAGCACTTGTTTAAACCTTTAACTTCTTTTCTAAATATCTTTGCTCTGATATTTCTTAATTGACTATTCAATCTTATAACTAGCTAAACAAATCTTATTTACTTGATAAACTTCATTGAGATTAATTTTAAAATTTAAATGTATTAACTAATTTTAACTAAATTTATTAATTTATGTAAAGCTGTTAGAACTGGATGGAGTATTTTCCTTTCGTAATCGAAAAAAACATGTTGTTTGGGCATCTTGGAACGAAGCCTTCAAGGAATTAAGAGAAGATACTTTCAACAAAAATGGCAACAGAAACATATATGCATGTCAGCAAGTGGAAAAAAGTGAAGGAAGTTCTGGGGAAAATTGTAGCCTAAGGACCAAAGCTTGGAAAGTGAAGAACATGGAACCTGCATTGTTTTAGTATTCTTCTTCCAGTTTACACGTTAATTCTTTTTTTTTTTAATTTTGTCATAATATTAGCTACACCATGTTTATTCCCAACTCATGAATCTTCCATTTCTCTGTCTCATTTTCTTTTCGTCTTTCATTTTTTAAAAATGTTTTTGAGCACTTACATCCGGAAAAATCGTGGAGGACCCGAGACTCACCGTTTAATTGAGAAGTCAGATTTATCATACATATTAAGAATTAATTCTTCTAACACGCTTTCAAGTGAAAAACAAAAAAACACAAACACATAGCAATATCAATATAAGATATAAAAGTTTAGAAAATTGCACAGTTTACAAGATGTAAACAGTAATAATATTTTTTTCTTCCTAAAACATAGGTATCCTCCTATTAGGGGCAATCGTATTCGAGGCACTGTCGGGTACCAAATATGGACACCTCTCTCAGTAGAGGTTCAAATCTTATTTTGTCACATTACGAGGGATTAGCCCTTCCGTTAGACCTAAT